TTGTCTTTAATCTGCTACACTCAGACCAATGTTTATATGAAGGTGCCCTTGACGCGGCGCAACCTATGCGTGGAGTTCGCTTCGAATGACTGTGCTGGTAATGACGAGAATCGCGGTAGCAACGTCAGCGATGGTGAATCAGATTTGTGCGATATCGATGTGTTTGTCGAAGGCGGAGAGCGTAACGGTGAACTTGTTGAAGGTGAGATTGGCGAATCGTGTATTTACACCATAAGGTGAGATTGGCGAATCGTGTATTTACACCATAAGGTGAGATTGGCGAATCGTGTATTTACACCATAAGGTGAGATTGGCGAATCGTGTATTTACACCATAAAGATATGGAAGGCTTCACGATACTGAAACCGGTTTCTAACATATCTCGTGTTCTCTTTAGGTTTTCGTGGTGTTCCTACCAAGGCTGCGTTGGAAGCAGCACCGAGCCCACTTGGAGGATTTTTGCTTTTCATGACTCAGAATCTACAAGAGTCTATCGCCGGTGCTAGCAACGACTACCTGGGAGAAGATGGATGAGAGAGTAAAATCATAGTACAGTAGACAAAGGCTTGCGTAGTGTTCAGGAACCCGGTACCAACGGGGATGGCTGCAGCGCCTCGGAAGAGTTGTCGCGTGAGGAATCGGGTGATTCGGACGACCCAGACGTATAGCGACATCATGTAAGAAACAAAATAACTTCGCTTCCCATTGGGGTTGTGTCACCACCTGAGCCAGAAATCTGGCTTCTGCATCGACTCTAATGTGGTATAGTGAATTCTCCAGAGTTGCGAATAATCGTCCATCAACAAAGATGCGGCGCCGTCAAGATGCTCAAACGACGAACACTCGGTCACCTGATGTACGGTGACTTCAAAGTGCAAGAGACTCGACGGTGCCACCACTCAGTGGATACTGGATACGGTCCAGCGGTCACTCAATCCAGGCTGACCGGATTCGCATTCACCGGCCTAGAACTGACCATCTACGGTACGAGCTCTCGGTGGCAGTTGGAATGAGTACGCACAAGACTACGCGACTCTTTGGATGCACGTCACCGTCTGGGAAAGAGCGTATGCGACGTTACAGACGACGCATGGCGTGCAAGAAGATCCATAACATATCATAACTCACTTTATATGCGTATACATATTTATAACTTCTTATTGGTAATAGGCCCGAAAGGGCTAACATAAATACAGAACACATTTTTCACTCAAGCACAAATAGTGACGTCCGGCTTCAAGGTGAGCGTGTGGCCAAGCTTGTTTGAGCCTGTCGGTGAGCTCGAATCTCTGTAGCGAGGGTATATCCGGCAAGGCCAAGCGACTGTGTGTGTATTGACCGATTACTTTGGGAAGGTTTACGTGACGGCTTATTGTTGCCGATTGCATCCCTTTTATTCTTCTGACCGAGTGTTGAACACCCGGTGCTCTCGTAAAAGGCTTACCCGTGCCTGGTACCATTCCATTGTTGGGACGACGTCGATTCATGAAACCTATTAGTTTTGTTTGTGCTAGTAGCGTGTTCTTATTTTTACTGGTTGGTCTATATTAGTAGTTAACAAGGTCCAGTCTGTCCCGGTGCAGGGGCAGAACTGGGGCCTTCAGGTCCGCCCGAACGATCATTTGCGATCCTAGCTCACGTATTGTTGTGGGAGCTTCCTAACTACATTTGTAGGTAGCGCTCACGCTCAATTATACATGTTTGCTTCAAGATAGCCATCTGGCGGCCTTAAACAATTGTGTACTGATGGCGCTTTGTCTTTTTGCAATTCTTCCTAGTTGTTTTTAAGCGTTGTGTTGTCGAGGACACGTTACACAGGCTAATGTGTATGCAAAAGCTAATGGTATCGTGAGATATACAGGATATTTGGTAAGTCGCTCTCTAGGGGTTGGGCGAAGCTTCGAACACTACAGTTTTTGTTTTAATTTGAAAACTGGTTCCCGTATCAGTCGATCCCAATAACGTCTATTGGGTATAGCCAACACAGCAGGAGCTCATTGCATGAATAACTTACTAGAAATAACCACATATTTTAATTACTCTGACACACCCATCTGCAGCGAAATTTAGGCAGTATTTGTTCAAACGTACCACTTGTAACGTCACTATTGATAAGAGCAATCTGCCGAAATTATATCAGTCATTGTAGTGGGAAAGCTCCGGTATTGAGGCTCGTGGGTCACGACGATTCAGGCTTGTAAAACGATCCCAAAGTTTTGACAATATAAAAAAAGCAAAGCCACGTTTCACAGAGGAGCTCTGGAGCTTACTACGGGGTGTAGGGCGCGTATTTCACCATTGGTGTTACATGTACAGTGTCAGTAAGGAGCTTAACTACTGAAAGTGCCAGACAATGGTACTTTTCAATTTAATCTGTACAAACTTTGAAAAAATATTCTTTTCTTAGTGCCGCCCTTTACAGTATATCCAAGTGTATGTACTTGTCAATTTGTTTTACATAGCGCTTACAAGGATATTTGGCTTCCATACGCTTCAAATTGACGCATTACTGTATACTACTACTGCAGTCCAGCATACCGAGGTAAATTCGCGATAATACGAGAGTTATTGGCGGTGCGTGTATGGTACCTTACCACAGGGGTACGTAAAAACCAATGATATGGCCATAGGGTGGCCATAATTTATGGTCTTTATGTTTGGAATCGCGAAAAATGGGACGAAACCCATAGTAGTCAAATCAAAGCACAAGTGAAAGGTGCAAAGCTCTATCTCCAGTTGCGCTTAGTGTCTTCTATTCATTGGCAGCGTAATAGTGTCACATATGACCTACCGATAGCTGCATTGAAAATGTTTTCGATTGGTGATCGTCGATGATACCTCTCCACCACACGTTCTATTGTGAATATAGTGCAGATGGTGGTCCAGTTGACTAAAGAAAAGCAAAATGAATTATGTTGTATTAGCAGAGCTTCAACTGTGCTAGTTTGTCCTCGTGGCAGCTCGCCACGGATTCCTACAGCTTTTAGAACTTGTCTTGTAGAAGCTCAAGAATTCTTACCGCTTCTAAAGCCTGTCTTCTAGAAGCTTGTGCATCAGGTTGAGCTTTGCCTTCATCGATATGCATAGCGAAAGAGACGGAAAGGTAGCTACGGACAGTCCACACTGCCTCCCCAGGATATGTGGCGCTTTTACAGGCTTCGCCGTCTGCATTGGCTTTAGACGACGATAAGCGGCTCCCGTAGGCCATAGGATTGGTGCTGCTCAATATATTGATCGACCAGGACGGGTACAGCACGAGCCATGTTTGGAAATGGCTCCCAAGAGTCCTCAATCGCTTGCAGCACTCTCCAGGAAACCAGAAGCTCTCATTGTTTGGTTACAGTACTGTACCGATGCTCGCACATCTGCTCAACGCCCAGGACAATTGCTTGCTTGCCGACATGATCCAATATTTCCTCAGTAACGTCCATGGCGGCGTCATCGAAAAACGTGAGTCTTGAGCCATGTACTCAAACGTATCGCCGGTGATAAGATGCTCGATCATGAAAGAGTACTCGCGAGCCTCAATTAATCGATACGGTCCCACCCAGCGCACCATCAATTTGTTTCCACGTAAGCGTCCATCTACGCGAGACCATAAAACGTAGTCGCCGACATTAAAGCTCTCAAGGTTGCCCTGTTTCGCCATCCTCTGATAACGCCGCGTGCGCTCCTTGCGATCTATCACTTCTCCGTGCATTGAGTGAAGGCTCTCTCGCAGAGCTTCCTGCTCTTCTTTGAATGCATTAAGACTCTTGTGCAATAGCTTATCGTTGGTGTATGCACTGCGGGGTAGCAGCACCGTATCCAGCGGGGTTGGTACATGTAGGCCCGTAAACAGCTCCAGCGGTGCCTTGCCGCTTAGTGATTCCACAGGAATCTGGTTGAGGTTAGCCTGAACAAGCGGCGGCGTATGCTCCCAGCTCTGGTGGTACTCTAACAAGAGCACACTCATCACTTGTAGGATGTCGCGGTTCAATCGCTCGACCGTGCCATTCACACAAGGTATGTACACTGGCACGAATGTATGCAACGCTTTCATCCTGCTTCGAAGCTCATCCATCAGCATGTTCTTGAAATGTGCTGCGTTGTCTGACTCCAACATTGCTGGCATTCCGAACCGTTTGGCCCAATCCAATATGTCCGCCACAGTCACAGTGCTCGTAGGAGAATCACAAGGTACCAACTCGCAAAAGTGGGTTAATTCGTCTTTCAACACAAGTAAATAGCGTGTACTTCCGTACGAATAGCCAAGAAATCAAAATGCAACGCTTCGTTACGAGCTGCAGGATTTCGCGGTTCATTCTACGGTCGTTGAATCAGCTGACTTCCCTTGACATGCTTGCAGAGGAAGCACTTCGCGACATAATCTTTTAGGTGTTTTTCCATCGACTTCATGTAGTGTTTAGTATGTAGCTGGCGCAACATGACATCGGCACTTCGGTGTGCATTAAAACCACAGTGCGCGACAATGAGCACGCGAGTCGTAAGGGCTTGGCCTGTGTGGGGATCCACATCTTGCCCTCCGCAAAAATGAGCCCGGTGTCGTCGGTAGTTGCAGCCGCGAGAGCCGCTCGTTGGTAGTACTGTAGGGCTAATCCGACGTCGGCGACACTTGATCAAACAAAAACAGCGTCACCCCTGGGACCGAGTCGTGGCACGTTTGGTGAAGAACGAGTACGAACAGCCTTCGCGGCGGCAGGTTGGGTATCCCCTGAAGATAGCCATCGTGAAACTAAGTCCGCCCAAACATTATCAGAGCCCTTGACATGCTAAATCTCATAGCGACAGTCAGAAAGTATCAGCGACCAACGCTGCAACTTGCCACGGACGTGTTTAAGAATTTCCGTATGTGGGCAAAAAATCTGAATCAAATTGGCATGGTCGCAAAACAGTTTGAACCCAGTGGAGCGAAGTAAATAGGTACTCCAGGTCTTTCGCCGCCTTCGCAATAGGGGAAATCTTCCTTCTCAGCGATATACCAGTGCGGCTGGGCCCCTTTAAATATACCGCCTTTGCAAATAACCAGCTTATGAGCTTGATCCGTCAAACTCTTTGAATCATCCCACTCAGCGACTTGCAAAATCACTAGAGACCAGCCACGGTCGCTAGCGTCTGTGGTGACAAACTCAGTCGCCGTCTCCGAAGAAAATGCTAGCTTTGTCGATGTTGCCACACAATCCAAGAAATCACGATACTGTGGCTCCTCAGCAGGGGTCCACGCCAGCGCAAGGCCTTCTGCGAAGCGTTGCTTCCGGCTGCGACCATCGAACGCAGCATCCAACTTCGACTGCAGCGGAGCTGCATGCTTGGCATACTCAATGATAGACTCCCGTAACCAATAAGCTCCGCACAGCAACCTTTGCAAGGCTGCTGCGGTCGCAGGCAGGGGCAGAGCGCACAATGCAGCCACCCGCTCAGGGCATGACGAACGCCATCGCTATCAACGCGGCGGCCGCACCATGTGATTTCCTTGGCAAACAGACAGCTCTTTTTAACATTAAGCTTGAGACCATACTCCCGAAGACGCGAAAAGAGCTAACGTAGCACCGCATTGAATTCCTCCACTGTTTTCACGAATACGACAATATCATCGACTTAAATCCAAATATTCTCGTAGAGCATGTCATGGAAGACTGCCTGCATCTGATTCTGAAAATGAATTGGAGAATCGGTTGCGCCCTGAGGAACACGTGTTAAAGTATACACAATATCACTAGTGATAAAACTGAAGTACTTTCGACACTCTGGATGCAACAAGAGCTGCCAGAATCCCTTAAATAGATCGAACGTAGCAAAAACGCATGCGCCTTTGACCTTCGCAATCACCAAAAAAAGATTTGGCATAGCACCAGCTATCGGAATGGTGCGTCGGCTAGTAGGACGGTAGTCATTCGTACAGCGGTATTCTTCCTCGGGTCCCTTCTTGCGCACTGAGATTGCTGCGCGCGCCCATCGACTTTGGTCGTTGCGATAGACAAGCTTGAACTTCTCCCGTTGTTTGCCATACTCAGCAAGGACTTCGTTTTTACTGGAGGGTATCGCCGGGGTTTAGATCGGAAAGGCACTGCATCCTCGACTAGCACCACTTGCAATGGTTCAAGCTTAGCTGGTGGGTCTGCCCCTAACTTCGTTCTCCACTGAACTACCCAGCCATCACCACCTCATGCAACTTAGCCATCGCGTGCTGAGGAAATCCGGCAGCTTTCGCCGCTTCTAGGAGAGTGTCCAAACAGCCCGCTATCTCCTCGGAATTCGTCAGACCAACAATATCATCGTCAGGTAAGTCATCTCCGTCCGAATCAAGTCCGGATTTGCTTGCTAGTTGCTCCAGCAGCTGATCCACGTTAATTTCCCAGGGATTTAAGGGTAACATAGCCAATTAGCAGCTCGACCGTGTCACCATCAATAATCACGCAGGCTACGTGCCGTAGACGCACAGGACCAGCAGCCGTAAGCAGCGACACGTCCGCTTCACATTGCTCGTAGCATTGTACAAGTCTACCATCGGCCAACGCCACCTTGATAGGAGTAGTAAGTTTTACTATGCTTACACCAACGTCCAGCTTTTGAAGCTCATGAACAATCTGACGTGTGATCACATTTGCAATCAGCACCGGTATCCGCTCGGAATGGCACTTAACCCCTTGGTTCCCGGAATTTATGACAGCTAGCGTATAAGTCACGGTACTGTTATGTCGTAACTTACGACGTGCGTAGTTACTTTGGTTCTGTATGATGTGCATAGACGTCTGCGGGAAGCGATATTAAATCTGAACAGGTTTACTGAGGAATGTCGTAAGGTATACTCCTTTCTTGTGTTCATCACTAGCTCAATGTCGTAACTGACACCGATGGATGAAACAAAGGGCGCGAGAGCCGGCACCTAGAAGGAAAAAGACGCAGCAACCCGTGCATCAAATCTGCGAAAACTGCATTACAACTCAGAAGTTACCACAAATCAAATCTGACACCTGGCATTTCATCACTTCTCTTGTGCACAAACTGGTCTCACTGGTTTTTGTCATTATCATTTCCAGACCCCTCGTCGTCTGCTTCCCCGTTGTGAAGCTGTAATTCTCGGCGAGTCTTCTTCCGCAGTCCAGCTTTCTTCCCGGGACGCCTCAGCACACCTCTTTTCTTTAGGTGACAGGGATCGCCTGACCGCAGTCAAAATCGGCATGCCAGATTGCAAAGCAGGTCTTTGCTTCACCCCTGTAGGTATGCCGGATCTTGTTACAAAGCCAGCATTTGGCGTTGTCCAGCGAGCAGCGCTCACAGAAGAAAGTCGTAGCGTAAGACTTCTTTTTTTTGTCGGTCCTGAGTAATGCGCAGACTTTACAGGATCGCTGGCGTCGCTTTTGCACACCGCTGACAGTCACCCAATCTTCCGACTGTTCCACTTCATGGGTAAGCCGCACTGGAGCACGTTGGCGCTTTTGGCGTAGCGGTGGTGGAGTCGCCACGACACCATCAAAGTCTTCAGCCTTGAGCTGGAGAAGCTGATTCTGAAGGATGCAATACCAGTCTCCACGCCTCGTCGCCGCCGTTCCAGCAATTCGTGCGGTTTCCTTATGTGAAATGTATGCGTTCACTAACGCTAGGTCGACGAGCCCCAAGAACAAACTCATGTAGTATTTCTTGAACTTGGTCGACGTCTGTAACGAGAACTTCTGGAGGCGGAGTTGATCATGAATATCAACACCTCCCATCCAGCGCTGATAATCCGTCACAGCTGCAGGACATGGCACAGTAACTGGTCCCACGCGCTTCACATTCCTATTGATTGACGAAGCCGACATCACAGAGCCCGTGCACAAGTAATGCACGGGTTTGCTGTCCCACCATTGGTATGCCACCATACTTGGGACAGCAATAGAACGGGAGAATGTGAACGCCCCTCGAGGAATGCTTGCCGGTCGTGTCTTCCTAGTCGCTTTGACATTATTGTCAAAGCCAAGTCTGTCCGTCATTATAGTGCCCAACACGTAAACACTCATACCAAGGAGCTCGATCGCAAGAAGGACTGACGAGTAGAATCGATCAATCACGACTAAGTGCCACAGATGGCGACGATTTTCGTGAAGCACGCTCTTCAGGTTACGAGCAGCCGCCGCAGCACCTGTCATATGGTCGAATGAAGAGTCGCCAGTGTCTCCAGCATTTCGTTTTCCAGCGTACATTTCGAATCTAGTACGTTACAACATAGATGTTAGACAGAAACTCAAAAGGCGTAAGTTACGACATAAGTTAAAAATACATACCTGTGGCAGTATGCTGTTATTGCATCACACAACATAAATATTTTCGTGCCATACCGGTGAGGTTTGTCCGGCATAAACATCCGGGTTGAATTGCGCTTAGAAGTGGAAGGAAGAACGCCCTCATCGAATGAGAACACTGCCGGAAGAGACCATCCAGCCAGAAACCGGTCCTGGAGCTTGGTGACAACGGGCCGAAGTTTCCACAGCTTGTCACGTGCACGCTCACCCTCGTTGTCCACAAAGTGAAGGTCTCGTAAGATGTCTTGGAAGCGGTTGCGACCCATGAACCGGCCAAATGTTCCAGCCGGAACTGCCCCGTCCTCCGTCATCGACCAGTGTGCCGCAAGGCGGCGGTTCTGTGGGCATAACATCCGTGCAATGAGAAGTCCTAGGACCTGGAGGATTTCGTGCGTCTGGTACGCTGGTTTTGATTTTAAACGCCGGCGGATTTGTGTGAGGGTTTCTCGTTTAGGCTCCAGCTGCTTGACGTGTATTGCTTGTGCCCGCTTTTCGATCTGTTGCATACTGTACCGGTTTGTTTCAACGTTTATCATCACCCACAGTGATTTTGGCATATAGTAGAAGAGAGTCAGAAGCGGTGAATGACAGACGCTGCGTAGCTCCGGTACAGGCTTGCCCACTTCTGCGTTGAGTCCCGGGTACGCGGGCGACGCTTCCTCAAACTCCGACGATACGGGAGACCATTCCGTTGCTCGTAATGCGTTAGCTCTTGCCTCCGCGGCTTTTTTGTTGACACCATCTTGCCCTATAAGAAGTGATTCGACGAATGCCTCGTCCATGTGTGGAGCGTCAGCGTCCGATACGACATCATCATCGCTTGGAGTATCCACTAAGGGGGAATCTTCGTCGCCGTCGTCCACGCCGTCGCTGTCGCTCTGGCCAGAGCTGAGACTTTCATAGGCGCTCATATTTTCATCCTCTGGGACAAAGTTAACATCCGGCTTGACGTTGGAGAGTGAACGAAGCCTCGAGCCTGAGGGTGCAGCGCCAAAGTTAACATCCGGCTTGACGTTGGAGAGTGAACGAAGCCTCGAGCCTGAGGGTGCAGCGCCAAAGTCATCTCTTTCAGCCTCACTATCAATGCCAGAAGCTTCCGACATTAAGTGAAGGCTTGTTGCTGCATTTAGATGTGATTCAGCAGCTTCGAGCTCTCCCGATGATAGTCCAAACGCTCGTGGCACTGCGGCCTGCGAAAGTTCGACGTCTGAGTCACTCGAGGAGCCAAAGCGATCATCAAGTGTGTGTTGTGACAGCTGTGCTCCTGTGTCGATCTGCGATACTCGAATATCACTTTCCTCAACGTTTTTGCCATTGGGGCTGGCGTTGTCTTCGGTCTTCTCTTCTTCATCCTCGCTATTCGCCAGCAAACCGGACTCTATCGCATGCATCACGACCGCATCTTCTCCAACAAATACCTCGACACCATTCGGAGTCACGTACCTCCACTCCGTCTCGATGCCGCTTGGTCTCTTCGATGACCATCCAACTGCTCGCAGCTGTCTCCACAAGTGCTTGAAGTCGATGTCCCTGGCAGCAGCAGCAACAGCATCTGTCTTGCCACGCGTACTGGACCGGATGCGCACCATTGCGCAAATTCTGGAATGGCACGGAAACAGCTTCCTATCCTATCCTTATCCACGTGTCTCTTTCCCGTTCCCTCCGTCTCCCTTCCCGCCTGGCCTGTTTCTGATGCGATTTTGATTTACCTCTCCCATCTTATTTTCCTGAATTAACTTGAATAAAGTATGGTTTGAGCCATTTTCTGTTGTTGCTTTCTCTATGTCGTAAGTTACGACATACTAAATTTGCTATGGCGTAAGTTACGACGTTGGGAACCAGGGGGTTAAAGAACGTCGTTTATAATGGCGGCGCGTTCCCCTGGCGAGCCCATGGAACGAACAGCCTTTGCTCGCAACCGTTGGTTTTTCATATCATTCATGCCCTGCAATGCAGCTTCCTTGTCGGACTCGCTAGCTACCGGGCATTCCTTGACCCAATGAGCTCCACTGCACACCAAACAGCCATCACGTGGCGGTATACGGGGCTTCTCCAACTCTTTTCGTGCTGGTTTAGTTGGGAACCGGGTTGCCGACGGCTCTTGCTGCTGAATGGCCCGTGATTTTGAGTTCGAGAGCGTCTTCTTACCGCTTGTATTCACTCGTGGCTTGTCAGTCATCATCAGCTCCTGTGAGAGCCGATGGTAGCGCTGCTGCTCACGCGCGCGCTCGACCAAAGCTTCATACAATGCAAAGTCATCTCTCTTGAGAACCGGCTTAGCAATAGCCAGGCGCTCCATCTCTAGCTTTAGCATGTCCGGTACCACGTACTTCAGCAACGTCTTGCACCGTAGCTTCATCCGCTCTCCGTACGTGGGTTCATTTTCACTCCCACTGCCCAAAATCCCACTTAATCCATGGTCCTCGACAATCTTGTCAAACAGCACAAATTAGGCCACGATACGCGCCTCGGTATCTTCAATTCTCAAGTCCATCTTGAGGCGGTCGCCAAAAAGCTGATCAATATAAGTAACATGTCTGTTTTGTAGCGATGAGCAACGTTGTGTAATCGCCAGTCCAAGATCTTCATTGGTAGCTGAGTCCTGTTTCTTTTTCAACACGAAACGCGCTAGGTGCTCTAGAACTCGCGGCTCGATAGAATTGCGTATTGAGGTGACTACATGGTCACATCACTCGCCCGCAATGGCACATCGATTACGAACCTTAGCTTCATACTGTCGTCGCTGCCGCACCCACGCAACTAATGACGTCTGGTCCCAGGCCATGAGACTTAGCGGTTTAATTACTTCGAAAACGGGCTGGGGCACTGTCATTTCAACATCGTGATCTGCATCTGTTGTCATTTTCATAAAGCTACGCTTCACGCCGTGCAGGTCGACGCGTTTTTGCAGCAGTCCCCCTGCCTCCCCTTGTTGCCGCGGCTTCTGGTGCGTCCAGAAAGTATTCCTTGTGGTCCAGTTGACTAAAGAAAAGCAAAATGAATTGTGTTGTCTTAGCAGAGCTTCAACTGGGTTAGTTGGTCCCGCGTGGCAGCTCGCCACGAATTCTTACAGCTTCTTGAACTTGTCTTTTGGAAGCTCACGAATTCCTACAGCTTCTAGAGCCTGTCTTCTAGAAGCTTGTGCACCAGGTTGTGCTTTGCCTTCATCGATATGCAAAGCGACAGAGACGGGAAGGTAGCTATGGACAGTCCACACAGATCAAAGAATATGAGGTATTTCCATTATGGACTATGTGCCCATAATAGACGGAGCTGGGATTTTGCCCTCCCCATCAATAGTCCATAGCCATTTTGCGGACCCCTGTCTTACCATTGGTATATCGAACGCATCTGCTGCATGCTCCGCTGCCGCGTGAAATCTAAATATGTTCGACCAACATTCACGCGGATTAAACTGCTTCGGTTAGTCGTAATTTACAGTGATGTTACCCTTGGCCGACACAAGCAACATTCACCTGGGTGACATCACTGGTACAGAGGATGCTCAGGTATACATTGCCATTCTTCTTGGTTAAATGTTTCTAATACAAACTGAAATGACAGGTTTTGCATGTTTAGAGAAGGAAACCCACTAAATTGGGTACGACAAAGCAATGTAGATCTTATTTAACAGGCGTATCGAGTGCTGAAGTAGATTTATGTAGGCTCTGTTTTGAAAAGGTTATTTTGAGATCTGAGTAATAAGAAGTTAGAGTAGTTTTGGGTCAGAATGACCCGCAGACTAAAACTCTGGATATAAAATTCAGAGAACAACGGATAAATAAAGTGGAAGCCACCATCATCATCATTAAGTTTTAAATGTTGATGATGAAAGAATCTTTCTTATCTTCATAATCAATGAGACCACGTAAACAACATTTGTAAAAAAAAGGTGTCTCGAGATAAAAAGGATTTCGTCATCATCATCATTCAAGTTTACGGGGAATATGAAAGACAACAAAAAAGGACACTGTCAGCAACAGCACAAACTTTAGCGACAACTTTTTTCACTTTACTGAAGCTATTTTCACGGTATTTTTTGGTATATAGAGATGTGAAGAGATAAAAAAAATGTAACATTTTCAAAATGTTGGGGTATCTGCAATATCAAGCTCTACATTATCATTCTCTATTTCTAATCTGCAGTACAGTACTCCACCTCGTCTTCGCGCGTTTAAGCCTTTATTTTTATCCCAAATGAGCTACGATTTGTTTGCATAAAAGCTGATCTATTCGCTAATCCTATGCTGTCCACCCCGCGAATTTCGCTTATAAGGCTCTAATAATACTGAAACTATGTTTGCGGAAGGCCGACGTAAACCAAAGACAAGCTGTCCGTCCACGTAGATACCGGCCATTACGGAATTTACCCCCTTTCAACGCAATGGCTGCAAAAAGTCTAAACAAGCATTTCAGCTACTTCATACTGCTATGGCTCTTGTTCTTCTGGGATGCGTCAGCATTCGTTCAGTGTCGACCACGGTGCCCAACAGCAACGCGGTACCAAACAAGGGTTTAGTCGGCGGCGTGGGCCCTAAATCCGATCGGCGCTTGAGAATGCAGACATGGTCAGCAAAGGATGGAGGTTACAGCAGCTCGGAAGAGAGAGTGTCTAGTGTCGAGAAGTTTTGCGATTTCATTAAGTCTAGGGCTACAACGCTGAAAAACTTCGCAAAAAATCTAAACCGCCAGAAAGCCACAGAAGACAGCGTGACAGAACTTGGGGGCAAAGCAGTGGAGTCGAAGCGTATTGATGCTGCATTGACCCAATCTGTGACTAACACCAGACCTGAGCTAAGCGAAGAGGCGTTTCTTTCAACACTGACCGCTCAGTATGGTGATGAAGCTTTAACCAAGCTGCTGGAACAAGCACAACGCCCGGGTTCCTCGCGGCTTGCAACGATGGTAAAAGACGTCCAGCTCGATCACTGGGTTAGTCAAGAGAAAACGGCGGATGATATCTACAATCGCCTGAAGCTGAACGTTGAGGATGCAGATTTTTTGGAAAAACCTTTGTTGGGCACGTGGATTGCGTTCGTGGAAGACAAACTCAAAGAGGATCCGTACGATTTCTTGCTGCTCAAACTGGCTAAACACTACGAAGGAGATACACTAGCAAAAATGCTGCATGCAGCTAGCACCAGCGACCGAACGAGCGCCGTTGCTAAAAATTTGGAGAAGGCGCAGCTATAATAAGGTCTACACGAAACACTGAGGATGATGTCCTGAAGCTTCTACATCTTAACGTTGACGAAGGGCTCGAGTTCTTGAAGCAGCCAGATCTGAGGACTTTTATCTCAATTGTGACTTCATACCATAAGACGGATCCGTACGAGTTTCTAGCTCTCAAGCTGACACAGATCCATGGCGAGCCATTCTCGCTAACATGCTAGTTAAAGCAAAGTCTGACCCGAGATTGAGAATCTACGCCGAGAAGATCGAAGCTGCTCAGATAAAGGGCTGGCTGGCCACAGGAAAGACGGAAGACGACGTTTTGAAGATTCTACATCTTAACCCCGACGAAGGACTCGAATTTGTGAAGCAACCAGCTCTGGACGCATTTTTTCCTACGCAACTACGCACCGTACGACGGATCCGTTCGACTTTCTTGCACTCAAGCTGACGAAGAGCCATGGCGAAGCCAAACTCGCTAACATGCTAGCTAAAGCAAAGTCTGACCCGATATTGAGAACCTATGCCGAGAAGATCGAAGCTGCTCAGATAAAGAACTGGCTGGCCACAGGAAAGACGGAAGACGACGTTTTGAAGATTTTACATCTTAACCCCGACGAAGGACTCGAATTCTTGAAGCAACCAGCTCTGCAGACATTTATATCCTACGCGACTAAGCACGATACGGTGGATCCGTCTGAGTATTTGGTACTTAAGTTAGCGAAGAGCCATGGCGAAGAAGAAGTTCCTAAAATGCTGGTTAAAGTGAGGTCCGACCCTGATTTGAAAACCGCGTCCGCGATGATGGAAACTGCGCAGTTTAAAATCTGGAAGGACAAAGGTAAAACGGAAGATGACGTTTTCAAAAAGCTACGTCTGGACACTGGCGAGTGTAACGACATATTGACGAATCCAGGCCTAGCGTCGTGGTTCTCGTACGTGAGAGTGAGTGGCCGAAAGCCTATCGAAGTGCTGTACAGCAAGCTGACAACCCGTTTCAGCGATGAAGTGATATTAAAGACATATTCCACCTTGAGGAATGACAGGAGACGGGCGGTTTCTTTGACTGGATTGACCGAAGCGATTGAAAACGATTGGTTGGGCCAAATAAAAACTGCAGAAAATATTTTCCACCCGTCTCTCCCTACACAAAGACGACACGTCAATCTTTCAAAACCCATTGCTGTCGACTTGGTCGTCCTATACGAAAAAAAAGTACGGTGAGACAGCAGACAGTGAGATGTTGTCGGTGATGACGAAATACTACGGTGCCGAAACACTGAAGAAAACGATTGATCAAGCATCACGCAGCCTGGCTCGAAAAAACAAAGGCATCGCACTACGCTTGGAGGCAGAATTGCGATTGCGCGAAGGAAAAACAGCTGACGAGGCCATTAAGCTTCACATGGAAGGGGATGATCTTTTTTTTGACCCCGCTTTTCCTAGGTGGGTCTCCTACTTCTACAAAATGAAAGATGAGGAGAAAAACCCGGACAAGTTCGCTATTATATCGGACCTAGCGAAACGCTTTGATGATGATCTGGACCTCGCACGAGCACTTAATGCAGCTAAGATCAAGTTTGATCTAAGTGGGAATACGGATGAAACGATCGTCAATTTACAAAAGCTTCAGTTCGAGCAATGGATTTGGAAAAAACACTGGAACCCGAAAGAACTCAGTTACGCACTAGCCTTCCACATGAGCGACCCGAAGTACTTGGGTGTCTATCTCAATTTCGACACGTTCTTCAAAGCTTCACGCGCATCCTAATGACAACAGGACGGTTCTCGGTTTCTACTAAAGCTAGATGCGGAAATAAAAGGAGGGTCAAAACGAGTTTGAGAGTAAGCAGGCAGCCGCTAATCTAACGGCAAACGATTTGGTTCGTTATTAACCCTTTCGTCACCCCCATTCATTTCTATATTAAGCCTTACCTACTTTAATCAAGTTAAACTTTCAAAACCGTACATCATGTAGGGTTTTAGTATATCAATTGCGAAGGGGTTTGCGAGCTTATTAATCGCATTTGAGAGGGTTTAATCAAAACAGTACATAATGTATGGTTCAGATTGCTGCAATATGATTTGCTGAAAATAATTGACGGCACTGATGATTCGTCGAAAACACACGAAAATCTTCCTTCTATCCCAACATTGGCACAAGGTGCAGTACCGTGAATGACAGCCTTGCCACAGTGGAAGAAGGTGGCGATGCTCCATGGAGGCAGAGTGGATCTCGGAGGTCCAATTTGGACCTCACTTCTGAAAAGCTGCGAGCGAGAGGAGTTAGGAACTGAGCGCAGAGATGGCTGAGCGGGCTTCAAAGCGTCAGCGCAGGTCTCAAGCCAGCAACACACCACAGCTTTCTCGAGGTGTGGCACTTGTATAGTCACTAGACTATAGACTACGGGTAGCAGGTGATAACATGTTTGTTTTTTATTTTATGCAACAGATAATTCTGTGAATTTCAAGGACGTTTGGAAAGTGTTACGCCGTGTGGGATGGTCCTATAAACCCTCGTCGAGTAGAAGTTTGGATTTGCGCTATCGCTACGTTCGTCCTGGAGGCAACCCAAATGGAATAAATGGTCAAGACTATTTCTTGGGGGAAGAAGCACTTGTTGGGTACTTCAACAGTGCGTATGCAGATGAAGCACCTTACGTGAAAACTGGTAACTCGGTCGGAGTATTGCATAGTGCTAATGTAGGTACGAAGAGCAGTGCGATTGATGAGCTTGATGCCCTACAAGTTGGTGCTACAGCTGGAAATGTTGCCTCAATACCTGAGCAAGGAGATATAAGTTTGGATACTTGTGACAAGGACGACGACAGACGCACTAGACAGCTAGATGGTAATCCTGTGGCTCACACGATACCAAAAGCTACTATTGGTGTCGTGGATGAACAAATATGTGTTCATACGTCTACTGTCGATGAACCTCAGCAATCACGTACAAAGTCTACTGTTTCGACTCCAATATGTCCAGTTTGTGAATCACCGTGCTCGACCCAGCGGTCGTGCACGACGTGTGGAGCATTTATGCATCATTTTTGCTCTCATGATGTTTGTGCAGCACTTGAGCTGTACGACCCGGACGGACAGCAGATACTGGATTTTGGAGACGCTTCGTTCTGCAGTAAGCAGTGCTATCGAGAAAAAGCAGCACCGGTCGTGATGAACATGAGTGGGCAAAACCAGGGGGGTACAACTGGGTTGGTTTCGGGAGTAACTACGTCGAGTGTTGCTACATCGCACAGTGATATCCACCTCCAAGGACAATCACAGTCGGAAGGAGTACTAATACGAACGAGTGAAGCCAAGTCAAACCCGCCACCTCTACTACCAGTTAAACGCAAGCCGAAATCAGCAACTCGGTAAGACAGACCAACCCACGAACAGCAACTGAAGAGAACGCAAAATCACGAGTTAGCAGTACTCGAAAGAACTTCAAAATCAGCTGAACGCTCGCAATCGAAAGGAAAACAAAAAATTTCAAACGCAAATGCTACTGCATTTCGTAAAGAACTCGCAATACGGGCGGAAGCTACCGCAAACAGATACGTTGGAGCCAGTGTGGCGTTTTCGCCAGCTGAGGAAACCTGGATGGAGCGCAAATATTATAGCGATGTCGGCTCAACTTATCTGATTGGCGTAGTGACTCGTCACATCCTTGAAAATAAAAAAAATGGTGATGGTGTGGCTGTGCCAACCTTGTCGTTTGAAGTACGATGGACAAATACCGCTTTTCAAACAAAACATCACGTTCATCAGATCGAAGAAGATGTCGTATGTCGCGGCGTAAAACACTACGTGGCTATACATCAGAACAGTGCTGAATTTGGTGAATCTTGGAGTGCGCTTTGCAGTATGGTGCCAAAGTATACGAACATACCTCAACTTACAGATGAATTTGACGAAGTACAAGAAAGTGAATATCGTGAGTGGTCGGTCTTTCGAAGCCAGAAAGAGCTTCAAATTGATTTGTGTCCAGCAGAAGTCGAGCTTATCCAAGGTATGACATTCTCACCTACGGCTTCGCTTGACGAAGTACCAGGCCTGTTTGCTCACCCCGATGGGTCTACAACCACAAAATTACGCGAAGAAAGTAAACATCTTTTTGGAAAAAGTGCAAGCTCGAGTTTCTTTGCGTTTATCCCTATTTCGTTTTGGAAACAAGTGGTGACTTTTTCAAACGGTCGTGCTGCAGAATCTCTGGTCAACTTGGAGCACCTATTGAACTGGAAGAATTGATGATATTTCTTGGGATTCAGTGGTACATGACACTTGTCGACAAGGGCGAGATGCGAAATTATTGGTTTGACAATGAAGACTCAAATATTTTTCCTGGACAATCGTCGACAAGTTTGGCTACTGTTATGAGCTGGAAAAGGTATCTATACATTAGAAAAAATTTATCGTTTCGCCCTCGTACAAGTGCTGAGGAGCTGTCGAGTGATCCTGCAGCAAGTATACGTCCTCTGATAACAATTTTGAAAATAAGATGCTGCCGTCACGTTATTCCGGGGCGAGATGTGGCTGTGGACGAAGCGAGTATTGCGAGTAAATCAAAGTACGCCAGGCACATCATCGTCTATAATCCACGCAAGCCGACTGGAAAATATCACTTCAAATTGTATGTCTGCTGCTGTTCGACGACATGGATTGTCCTTGATTTCAAACTTCACTGCTCCAGTGACCTGAAAAATCGCCTAGCAAATGTAATTTCTCCTGCGGAAATAGATCGTCTTGCGGCGTTGACAGAAAAGTCTTCAGAGATTCGGAAACATGTCATTGAAGTCACAAATTCGCTAAGAGGTTCGAGGCGGGTGGTAAACACTGATAACTTCTACACATCGTGTTTATTGCTGGAAAGCCTGAGAACGGTTGGTCTTTACGGGCGAGGCACCGTCCGTTCTTCCAGTAAACACTTCCCGCGTTATACGATGGTTGGGTCGACCGATACTAAGAGAGGCACCATGAAGCAAGGGGTGTGCGTGGAAAAACACATCGTGGCGGCTAGT